GAACAAGAAGCACTGACTAATAAAGTATATATTTAACTACGAAATATAATCTATCAAATATATCTCTATCAAATCTTTACAAATATCTATCTCATATATATATATACCTCTACCAAATCTTTACTAAATATTTACTATATGTATCTCTACCAAATATTTACGAAATATCTACACTATATGTCTCTACTAGATTTTTTTACTATAAATAGTCATTAGGCTCCAATCCCAACAATTCTCCAAACTTGAAGACGGATACAGTCCACCAAAAATTTCATTCTCAATCTTCTCAGCACCACACGAATTTAGGCTTTGCACAACCTCAATGTTGCAACCTCAACACATTTTGACAACATGTTTGTTAGATTCTTTGCACCCTCTATTTTCTCCAAACAGATCACCATCTTCCACTAACCTACGGGTGAAATGGCATGAGTGTTTTGTTTTTGAATGATAGACCAGGTTCCTCACCAACGGTATGACACTCCTATATGTACAAAGAATCTTTTCCTGCTACTTCTTGCCCAATTCTTCTAGATATTTGTCACCACTATCTCCTTTCCAGCTTCAACTATTTTCACATCATCTCATTTCCTATCCATACTTCTTCTACTGACGGCCCTCTATTTGATCAAGTAGACTTTGTATTTAAAGTATCAGCCCAGAATGTCTTTGACAATCCAAAATGAATCCTCATATTTTTTGCCTCCTTATTCATGTTCTATCCATCCTTTCAACAACACCATTTTGTTTTGCTTCATCGGGAACTGTCTTCATTAATCAAATTTCCTTAGCAGCACAAAATGCTTTGAATTCTGATTTGTCGTATTCTCCTCCATTGTCAGACCTCAGGCATTTGTAAGCTGGTCTGATTTTCAACTTTAGCTTTCCACTTCTTGAAGGTGGCAAACACATCTAACTTGTGTTATAAGAAATAAATCTATACCTTTCTGTTGAAATCATCGATGAAGGTGGTGTAGAACTTTGATTCTCCAAGTGATGGAACTGGAGATGGTCCCCAAACGTTTGTATGGACCATTTCCAATCGCACTTTCTTCAGTTCTCTGGTAGTCTTTGTGAAGCTAACTCATTTTTGTTTGCTCATAACGCAGTTCTCACAAGGACTCATATCAACATATTCCAAACCTTCCAAAACTCCTTTCGCAGCCAACATCTCCATCCTTTGACGCACATATGTCCAAGTCTATTGTGCCATAGACTTGAATTTGAAGCACTCTCAGCAACAACAACCATGTTCATACACCTTGCAGTGGTATATAAGATTTCAAATTTTGTGTCACGTGCTACCACCAAAGCACACTTCACAATCTTTCACGAACTCTTTTTCTTGAGACCAGGAATATATCTGACATCCTTTAATGTCCACTTATTTTATGCCGAAATTTTTATGCAGACATCCTCTTTTCCTTCAATCTCCAAATTTTTGTTGTTGGCAAGATACACCTTGAAACTTTCAGACTTGAAATTTCAAAACAACTCTTTGTTTGAAGATGAATGAAAAGATGCACCTGCATCCAAAATCCAGGATTCAATCAGACTACCTATATTGAAGATTAGGCATCTCCAATGTCTTCTGCTAAATTTCTAGAATCATCATCTTCTAATTTGTGGTTCTGCTTTTTCTTTGGTCTTGTACAATCTGTCCGAAAGTGACCTTTTTCTCCACAACTCCAACACGTTACGTTTGATCTGTATGAAAATTTTTCACGATTCTTTGATTTTGATCGACCTTTGTTTGAGCCCTTTGATTTACTTCTTCACCTTTGGTTGATACTGAGAGCACTACCAGATGAATCTCCAGTTTCTCGTTTGCAAATACTTTCGTTGAGAACTACATCTCGAATTTCATCGAACTTCAATTTCTCAGATCATTGAGAACCGTTGATCGCGGCAACAAAGGTATCCCACGACTTGGGTAAATATGCATCAAAATCAATGCTTTAATTTTATCTTCGAAATTAATGTTCACCGAACTCAGTTGACTTACAATCATATTGAATTCATTATATGACTAGCAAAAGATCCACCTTCAGACATTTGTAGATTAAATAATCTCCACATCAAATATAGTTTTAGCAAATATCTACAATATATATCTCTACCAAATATTTAACATATATATCTATATTTTACCATAAATACTCATCAGGCTCCATATGCAACAAGAAGCATGTTACAGCACAAATGCATCCCAAAAGTCAGAACTGGAAAATAACAGTTTCATATCTGAAATCATAGAAAGTTTACTAACGTACCTCTGATTTTGCGTTCTTAAACAACCTCTTCTCATATTCTATCGCAAGGTTAGCAATTCTTTCCGAACTCGTGCCATTAGGATAACGAGAAGACACTCCTTCCTTCAACATCGCGTATCTGCAAGACCATACTGTTTTCAATAAAATTCATATGCTTTGTTATTAAAAAAAACCAACAGAATATGAGACGGCAAAGAGAAACTCAAGCAATGCCTTAAATTTTCAAGTCAACAATGGAATCATGTGAATGTTTGATTAATCCACCACACCTAAATGGTGTGAAAGTTATCTTATTTATAATCAAATAAATTACAAGGATATGGAAATAGTAATAAATGGAAAGATACCTGTGATAATAAGACAATATTTGCCTTATAATAAAATATCAAATATAATATATATGGTAAACTATAATTTATTACTAAATATCCTTAACACCCCACCGCAAGCTAAGCGTCGGATTAAACGAACGTGAAGCTTGAATCTGAAAAATTCAAAGAGGTTGAGAAACACTTTTCATGAAGATACTAACAACCCGGTTCTTGGCCATCAAAAATTGCAGAGGGATCGCCGCTCAGCGGCGATGCTGCCTTGGCTTCGGCGAGAATATGTCTAACCCATGAAGAGGGATTGTCGCTTAGCGACGATGCTGCCTTGGCTCTGGTGAGAATATTTATAACCCCAAGAAGTAGAAGGGGAAACCTAGAGCAAGGGACAAAGACAATGTTGAAGCCGGAAGAGTCGCCACATTGGGCGAAGGAGCCAATTTTGGCGAGAAGGGCAGTCGGAAGAGTCGCCTCATCGGGCGAAGAAGCCAATTTTGGCAGGAAGGGCAGCGGCAACTTGGTTGGCGAATAGGCCAGTGCGGCACCCAGATTCCGAAGGTAAATCTCTGCAAAAGGTTGATAGGTTTAGGTTAGGGTTTATGGGAAGGATGAAGGTTGATTGGAAAGAGAATGAGAGAGACTATATTGGCCAAGGGGAAAACCCATTTGGTTGGAAAAGGTGAGGTTATATGTATAGAGTATGACGAAAGGTGATTTGGAGGTCAATAGGGTGGAGCCGAAGAGTAATCAATCGGCTCCGACTACGGCAGCCATGAAGACTGCCCCTGCGGCGTCAAAACCAGCAAGGGTGGTGAAGAAGAAGATTAGAGGATTCAAAAGCCATTGAAAAGAAAGGGTTGTTAAACCGAAAGGGCTCTGATACCATGTGAATGTTTGATTAATCCACCACACCTAAATGGTGTGAAAGTTATCTTATTTATAATCAAATAAATTACAAGGATATGGAAATAGTAACAAATGGAAATAACAATAAATGGAAAGACACCTATAATAATAAGATAAATATTAGATATTTGCCTTATAATAAAATATCAAATATAATATATATGGTAAACTATAATTTATTACTAAATATCCTTAACAAATCAGAAAAGGCAGCTAGTTCCGTTCAGCAAAACAATAAATGCAGCTATTTAAACACAGTAATCAACATCAATCAGCAACAATCGAATTAAATTCAACTAATCTGTACATTATTGCACGAAGCCAATACAAATTCTCCGTCAAGTCTCCTAAATCAATCTCGAACGCAAACGATAAACAAACCAGAACAGTTTATGATCGATAAAGTTTTGGAGAGATTACATTGAACGTACAGCTTCCTGTCTAGTCGCATTCTTGACTTCCGCCTTCCAATCCGTCGCAGTAGCCAGGCTACGTTTCTTCTTCATTACACAAAATAAAAAAAAAAAAAGCTACAAAAACAGAGCAAGAACAACACAGAAAACTAAGAAGAACCTTCGACACAATCCGATCACTTCCGATGGAGTTCCAATAACGGAAGAATCAATTGCGAGTGAAATTCCATAGAAAGGAAACGGAAAGAGAGTCGAAACACACACCTGAAGCAGTTCCTTCTTTACTTTCTTATTTGAAGGAAGCAGAATTCCAGGAAATTTCACAAGAATCCAGGGAAGGGAAGATTCTAGTACGAAATTGGCGGAAGCGACCTTTGGGGAAGAAAGAGATCGCAAATAAGGAAGGACGTGATCTTTTGGGATCGCCTAGGGAATATGGTGCATGCTTAAACAAGGAAAAGCCTCGGGTGTGGGGCCCGCCCTCTTTTATATTCCAAATTCATAACATTAAATTTGTAATTAAAAATAAATCTCACATAACATTTAAATTATAAATCTCTTAATTTAAAATTCTAAAAAGACATCGTTTAAATAAAAAAAATATATATTTCAATTACTTAATATAAAAGTTTGTTAATTTAGTTAATAGTTATTTATTAATATAAAATTAATCTTATATTAATATTTAATTTTATTTGCATTAGTTATTATTGGTTAATATTAAAAAAAATCTCTTAATTTAAATTTTTTTTTTCGTTTAAATAAAAAAAAATATATATTTCAAATACTTAATATAAAAGTTTGTTAATTCAGTTAATAGTTATTTATTAATATAAAATTAATCTTATATTAATATTTAATTTTATTTGCATTAGTTATTATTGGTTAATATTTAAAAAAATGTTTTTCTATAATAAAATAAATTTAAATAATTCAGTTTAGGATAATTTGAATTAAATAAATAAAACCCGTGAATGAACACAAATTCAATGTTACTTTTATGTAATTTAGAATAATAAAATTGTATCTATAGAATTTAAACAATAATTTAATGAAATAAAAAATGTAAAATTGCAAAGAAATTAAAGTTTAAGCGTCAAATCAAGGCCGTGGATATTGTACTGATCGGCTCCAAAAATCTGTGAAGAAGAAGAAGCGTTTCTACTCGCCATGGCTATGGATTCCAATTCAGTTGCTGCCAAATTCTCTCTTCCAAAATGTAACTGCTGCGCCGCCGCCGCCATGTATTGTTCTCTAGGCCACCACCGGCATCCATGGGCGACGGCTTGGGGCCGAGTCGGTTTACGAATCGTCGATTGCGGCCGAATCGGAAACCCTAGGGCTTTGTTTCGCAGAGAGTGAATCGCCATTGCCGAATAATACGGATAGTAAAAAGATCCAATGGAATCGAACGCGTCCGTACTAGTTGCGGCGGAGGCGGCGGTGGTGGTGGTTCTGAAGCTCATTGCGGCGGCGGCGGCGGCGGCTTTCTCTCTCTTGGCAATGTCTCTTTCTCGTTTATGGGCGTTTTGATGTCCTCCCAAAGCCTGCAGATTTGAGAATTTTCTACTGCAGAATTTGCAGTAAAAAACCCGGGTTTCTTTCTTTGTCCTCATCTCCATCCCCATAACTGTCCTGGCTTTGAAGAAGCCGGGTTCCGCCTTGAAAGAATGTTGCAAGTTAAGTTCCACCTTGGAACCTTCGGACTCGACGGAAGAAGCCATGGCCGTGAAGTTAGGTAGAAGAAGATGGTTTTGGAGTGGACCGAGAACTTGTTACCCCTATTTATACCCCTATAGGGAGGAGATATTATTACTAAGTATCTATTTTCAAAGATTAATTTTGACTTTTTAAGTACAAATCCAATTAATGGAAATTAATAATAATAATATAAAAAAACAATTTTAATTACATTAATACACAAATTAACTCTAGATAAATAATTTTCCCCAAAATTTTATCAATTTCTTATCGTATTTATATATATTTTATAATTTTAAATTCAAATTTCTATACACGTATATCCCGTAACTAATTATAATTTTTTTATAATTATTTTTTTTCAATGTTTTAATTTGGTGAGGTTGTGGCGATAGAATACAGTGTAGGGTTGTTTATGTACACTACAAGATCACTCTCTAAGTAAATATGAATAAAGGGTAAAAGTAAAAAATTTAGGGTTAAAATTGAAGAAGAGATATGGTAATTAAATGGTTAATGGACATTAGAGTTGGAAAGTAAATAAGGAAAGTACAAAAAAGAGAGGTAAATATGGTAAGTACAAATTTAAGAGAGAGATTTGTCTTTTTATTCGATTGCTGATCTAGTGACAGGTAGTAGGTTGGGTCACACCGTCTATGTCACCGTCACACCTATTTCAAGTCTTAATTTTCATCGAACAGTTAACTAATTTTACTAGCTTCGAAGTCGTTTTTAAAATTATTTTATAATATTCTCCCTAAATTTAAAAATTAAAAATAAATCAATATTACTAAACTTTAAAGATTTGATTTTGATAAGAAATTAAAAATTTGGAGGGTTAATTATTGGATACATTTATAATTTAAGTTAATTACTTAAATAAACAATATTTATTTTATTAACCCAACTCATTTCTCTCGAAAAAGGATTACTCCAAAAATAATTTTTTTTTTCCTATTTTGGAATTTTATTTTCCGTACACAAGGAGGAGGTGAAATTATGAATTATATTTCAAAATAATTTTATTACCAAAAAAAAAAAAAAAAAAAAAAACAAAACAAAATGACCTGTAAATTCCAATTTTGTTTTGAATTAGATTATTGTTGGATGATGAAAGTCCCACATCGATTAATTTAGGGAATGGTCATGGGTTTATTAATCTAAGAATACACTCTCCATTGGTATAAGGCCTTTTGGGAAGCCTAAAGCAAAGCCATGAGAGCTTATGCTCAAAGTGGACAATATCATACCATTGTGGGGAGTCGTGTTCGTCTAACATGGTATCAGAGCCATGCCCTAAACTTAGCCATGTCAATAGATTGGCAAATCCTTAAATGTCGAACAAAGGACTCCAAAAGGAGTCAAGCCTCCTCGAAGGTACGAAGGCAGTCAAAAATGACTAAGACTCCAAAGGAGTCGAGCCTCGATTAAGGGGAGGCGTGCTTTGTTCGAGGGGAGGTGTTGGATGATGAAAGTCCCACATCGGTGTTAATTTAGGGAATGGTCATGGGTTTATTAATCTAAGAATACACTCTCCATTGGTATGAGACCTTTTTATGAGGCCTTTTGGGAAGCGGGTATGAGACCTTTTTATGAGGAAGCCCAAAGCAAAGCCATGAGAGCTTATGCTCAAAGTGGACAATATCATAGCATTGTGGGGAGTCGTGTTCGTCTAACAATTATATCTTTTAAAAAACTATCCAAATAAAAAATGGGTTCAAAGCTTCCCTCCTTTCGAGTTAGTATTTCGTTCTTTATATTTTTTTTCATTAACCCCACAATATTATATTATATTATTTTTTTATATTGAATCTTTTATAAATCGTCCTAATAATCAACTCTCTCGATCTCCTATCTCGCTAACCATGATGCACACCATATACGATCACTTGTAAATACCATACATGATGATGGTGTTCACATCAATCACATTTTTAACTGTTTTTCAAGTTAATTTTATATTATTTAAATTTAATTTTAGTTTTGAAGTTTTATGGTGTGAATATTTGAAATTAAAATCACAATTTTTTTCTCGGGCGAATTTATTATTCATTAAATCCGTTATTTAGGAGTTAGTTGTGAATTTGTGTTTTGAGTTTATTTTAATACGTTATAGATAAAAATTAATATCTTAAATAATCATGAATTTAAACTGTGAGTTGGTCCAAAAAAACTCTCCCGACCCAACTCGAGCAAACCGCTCGGAAATTATAAAGAAAAAGAAAAAAAAAATAAAAATCTATTCTCTCTTCATAATTTGATAAGGGATCTTGTGTTCCTTAGTGATCTTTGGATCACAATTTTTTTCGTTCTTCTTCCTCTGGTAAATTTCTATGCATTTGTACCCAACCCATAATTTTGGGTATTTTGATGTATTTTACCATTCGTGAATTCTTCTCGTTCATGGAGTGAATTTTACTTCAATTTTGGGATTTGATCTGATTGCTTGATCTGCAGCGTTGCTGGTTGCTGGTTGCGTAATTGCAAGCGGAAGTTGCGATGGAAATAGACCACGCCGAGCTTAGCACTGAGCAGGTTGGTGATTGGATCTTCTTATTGTTTGTTTTCCTTCTTAGATTTGATTCTGAGGTGTTTTTAGATGGTCATTAGAGAACTTGATTTCTTCGATGGCGCAAAATGTTATGGATTATCGAGTAATTTGTACTGTTTGTCAGTTTGGTGGTGTGAGTGTAACTACATCCATGGCGATTGAATGTTACGTGTTTGAGCAGTTAGGTTAATGATCCAACAATGGTTCATTTACTTGTTAGTTATGGGTTATAAGTAATTGCAAGTTCTTCTAGGATCTAAAATTGCAATTCATCTGAACAGCTTATTGCCATTCATTAGAAAATATAACTCGATGGAGAAATTGAAGGGAGCAAAAACGAGCTGTTTGTCTTGAGAGATTCATTTTCTTAGCAATCGCAAGTTTAATTCTACTATTTTTTAAAGCATTGTCATTTTCATTGGGTGATCCAATACGTGATCTGGAACTTACTAGGATGAAGTTACTTAAAAATTATGAGATAAGGCCTCTTACATTCCAACTTATATTTTTCACTGAGGTCTTGAGGTGCCCTTAGAGAGATCCTTGTAATAGATTTTTTTTTTCTTGGAATTGATAATGGATGCTATCATTAACATTTTTTCTAATTGTGGAAGGTTCTCACAAGGGACATTCCATGGGAGACATACATGACTACGAAACTTATCAGTGGAACAAGCCTTCAGCTGTTAAGGCGTTATGATAACAGGCCAGAGAGTTACAGGGCACAGTTGTTGGATGATGTAAATTTTCCCATATATGTCTGATTCGTTTTCATTATTTAATTCATCTACTTACTACTTTTTGGGCATGATTATTGTGATGGAAATCTTGTTTGTCCACCCTATGTTGAGAAAATAGCAAATTAGGAACTATTTTCTTTACATTATCTCATAATACTCAAAGTGCAGTTGGATTTTGCAGGATGGTCCAGCATATGTTCGATTATTTGTTAGCATCTTACGTGATATATTTAAGGAAGAAACAGTGGAATATGTTCTAGCATTAATCGACGAAATGCTTACAGGTAACTTCATATGAATAGAACTTTATGATTCCATTTGGAAGTCTAAAAGAGTTTTAAAAGATCAAGAACTATATTTTCTATTTTTCTCGAGATATACATGGGGCTTTTCTTAGAAGTTCATAAAAAAGGTTATTTTCTGAAAAGTATGTCATATTTGTAAGGTAACAAATAGAATAATCCAATTATATTAGGAGGGGCTGGGATAAGAGTGGTTTGGTTGAAGTTTGCAAGCCTTTGTAATGGTTTGGGTAATTTATCAGGGAATTGGTTAAAGATTAGTTGATGTACTAAAACAAGTGGTAGCTCTGATTTTTTAGGCTCTTGTCTTGCTTGGATTATTGTTTTTTAGAAGGCGAGCAAAAGATGTTGAGGTTATTGATTTCAACTGTTTGCTGGAAGCTTTATCAGTTGCTAAAGTTGGAAGTTTTAAAGAGGCCTAGGGGTCATTTTCTATCAAATCTGTTTTCAGTAAGTTGAATGCTTCATCTCAGGCAAAGGGTTCGTTCTCTGCTTTGTGGAAATCAAAAAGTCCAAAAAGAATTAACATTCTTTCTTGGATATTGCTGAATAGTAGTCTAAAGACAGCTCACGTTTTCCAACGAAAGTCTCCCTCATGTCTCCAACCTTCCATTTGTTGTCTTTGTTTTGAAGCAGGGGAATTTCCTAACCATTTATTCTTGAAAAACCCTTTTCATATTAGTCTAAAAGTAATGTTCTTCAGATTTTATTGGGTCTTTCTTTACCATTGCATTCTCATCTGCTTGGGGTCAATGTGGTAAAAGCATTGATTGGAAAAAAATTAGAGAACTTTTGAAGGTAGACATCATTCTTAGTTAGGTTGGCTTGTGCCAACTCATCTGAAAGTTCCTCTTTGGTGTTCCCTCTCCCGCTCTTTTGATGGTTTTTCTTTATAGGAAACTAATCTAAATTGGAATTTTTTATTTATCCGTTGAACTCTCTTTTTCATATATTTCACTCATTTTGGAATTTGTTTCATTTCTTCAATGAAAAGTTTCATTTTCTTGTTTAATATGCAATTTTGTAATATATTTTTATATTAGTTTGACCTTCGAAGTCTAATTTGTTCAAAACTCAGTCTGTAGATATATTAGTTACAAGCATCTATCATGTTTTCGTAGTTGATAATAAATACTTCTATTTTAAGATCTCTTAATACCACTTTCATCTCAACATGTTTCTCCAACTATGAGAGGCTCAAATATTTATCAATAGAAGTCTTAACTTAAGTGTCTATGGATAAATAATTTCAGTTAAAGCAAAGAAAAACTTTAAAAGCCCACTGATATATATGTGGTGAATGCTTTGGCAGCAAACCCAAAAAGAGCAAGATTGTTCCATGATCCTTCTCTTGCAAGCGAAGATGCTTATGAACCTTTCCTAAGGTATGCATGTGATTCAAGCATGGGTTTATGCAGAATTTTTTAAAT